AGATAAATTTCTTTTTGTTGTGGGTTAATGGGCAAACGGATCTTAAAATAGATAATGCACGTCAAAAAAAAAAATAGATAATGCACTTTTTTTTTTCTTTTGGTTCTTCAATTTGGATTTTAAACTATTAAAAATTGATTTCTCATTTATTTACTCTTTTGGTTTTAAATTATTTTTTATTTTAAAATTAAATTTTTGTGTTCATATATAAGTATTGTTTAAAGTTAATATATGTAGATTGTTACATACATACCAATTTTAACTTCAAATTGTAAAACAAAATAGCAAATTAAAATATATATTATATAGTAAGAGCTTAAATTTGGTTTTATTAATATATTTTTTGTTAATTTGTGCAAAAAATGTCAAAACGATATTGATATTGCAAATAATAGAATTCGTCCAAATTAAATACTGAAAATTAAGTACTTCAGTTATAATGATAAGATTATACTTTACAACTTCTCCAGAATCTTGTTGTTTTAAAGCCAAGTATCAATCAAACCCAAAACTCCTCCCAAACTTGCAATCGAAACTGTCACTAAAAGAAACACACGATTTATTTTAAAATCGATCGATCTGGTAAAATTTATCGCTAGCAAAATACAAATGAACGGAAATGATAGATTTGTTGCAAATAAGACCTAGTAATGCTTAAAACACTAGGGATGCCTTAAATAACAGATAACATAACTGATGGTGTAAGGAAGTTTATGGAATCAGGTGGAATGGTAGAATATTGTTATTAATTTACACCAGTTAGAATTTAAGTTTATTGTTGTGGAATCTGTGGAATTGTGTCATAATCATGAAATGGACATTAAAAAATGACAGTAAAAATAAAAGAATTATCAGAGATTTATAGATAAAACTCTGAAAATCAATGTATAATAGTAGCTAATTGAAAAAAAAAAACACACAAAAAGAATCATGAATACATTTTACGTTTGTTTATATAAGTTTATAACACCTTTATTCTATAGACATAAAACTAGAATAAGTTTTGATTAATTTTTAACACATCTATATAAATTTATGTTCTTTGTTTAATAAACTACTAATATTATAAATGAATAAATTAAAAAATTTCTTACTAATTTTAGTAGTTAATAATAATAAATACTTATAAAGTTTGCTAAACAAATATAAAACAAAAAATTATTAATGAAATAAGTTGGGTTTAGAAGATATTTCAATAAACAAAACAAAAAAAAAAGTTAATACATTTATAAACATAAATATTTAACTTTTTTTTTGTCAACCAAAACTATTAATCAAAAATTTCACCAGAATTGGTTACCCACCCCGTCGGATTGTTACGTACATAAGAAAGTTCAAAAACTCTAGTACGTGCAGAACAGGCCAAACAGTTTGCATTTAAATTAATAGAACGCGAAATTAGAGATAAAGACAAATTGGGAAAACGTTCTTGTAGACGCCGAAACTTGTCCGAAAGAACCCTGAACGCTGGCCACTCCTCTGGATTTCAGACACGTACATATTTAACTTATACACAATTTTAATGTTTATCTTCATAACTTTAATTAATTTATTTATTTTCAAAAAATTCTGCTTTATTTTGCCAGATTTAACAGTGACTATTTAAGTTCAAAATTATTCCGTTAAATTCCGTAAAGAATCATCAAAAATTCTGTCAAATTCTGCAATTCCGTCAGATTCCTCTGTTATCCATTTACATCCACTGTATTATCTTTGATTAAAAAACAGTGAGTATTGCATATTTAACCATTTAAAAAGTCTCTTGAGTATTTCAAAATATTTTATATTGAACACAACCGTCATCTATCAACACAACCAAATCTTCTAATGGTAGATCCAACTGTACTGCCACCATCCAATGTTAAACTAAAACTAATTGTGATCATCTTACTTTTGTAATTAGATAATCTACTGAGAAAAGTTACAATGTTTGAATTATAAGTAAAAGTTACAATGTTTGAATTATTAGTAAAATCCATAGTTGTTAATGTCAATGGCAATCCAACTATTTTGTTTTGGTTTCATGCATGCAGGTTAACTTATCAATAATATAACTAAATATTAAACTTCAAACAAAAATTCATTAGATTATATATAACTAAATATTAAACTTCAAACAAAAATTCATTAGATTATATATAACTAAATATATAAAAATATCGAAGGAAAATATATATATATCCTATTTGTGAGTCATACACAATTTTGGGTTGGTTACTGGAGCTTATTCATCAAAATGTGGATATCATTTCATGAAACTTTTCAAATAAACTCTTGAATTACGTACGGACCTATAAACTATGAATGGGGAATTTTAACTAAAATTAAAAAAAAAAATTAATATTTCTAGATAGTTTGTGAATGTACATTATTTCTTCATAATATTATATTAGACTTTTGTCCCGCGTTAAACACGGGACTAGAGTATTTGAGAAGAAAAAAAATCTTAAATTTTTATAATATACGCGAGAAATTAGAAACAACAAAGATTAAATGGTATATCTCCTATATATATACATATATTTTATCTTACAAAAATTAGTCTGCACAACACTTAGATTGAATGCAAACGGTTTAATGTAAATCGAATACGTTTGAGAGTATGGGTTCTCTCAAACTTATTTGAGCTCACTAAACCCAAAAAAAAATATCGCGCTAGTATGTAAATCTTCTT